AGTTCCTTGCCTGCTTGTGTCCTTCCCGCAAGGCACCAGGCCGCACTACTGCTTCTCGTGTCATGTACATAGACACCACGTGTATCCTCTTCTGTAGCACGTTGTAAAGTTATCCAGAGAGAGATCACTGTCCTCTATGTTTTAAGAAGGTATCAGGCTTTTTACTTTTCCTATTTGCAGTTGAATATGGAGAAGAAACAGGCAAGAGAAATTCAATATGTTGATCTGACTGGAGAACATAATGCAATAAAAGCCAAAGGGAGAAAGAAGGGAACTTCAATAGCCTATATAAATATTTTTGAAATCCCAGGGATGTTTATATCTCTACACTTCTGTTGGCAGTAATTCACATTCTGTTGTCTGAGTATGAAGCCTTTTCTCAGAAAAAAATGACAGTTTAACTCCCGATTTTTAATTTAGCACCTTTTTTATTTTATTTTTGTTTTCATGTCTTTTTTATATTAATTTTTATATTTGACTTAGTAAATATGTTGTTTTATGATCGTCATTATTTTTCCTGGTAATGTGAATGTAAGATTCAGTCCATTTTTCTTTTTATGTTTTTTCTGAAATTTAACCTAAACTTGTAAAGAAAATTGAGTATGAGGTTATTTGTAAAACATGAAAGGGAGTAAAGAAGCAAGAGAGTCTGTCAGAACTATTAGTATGTTTTGTTCTCATCTGTGACCATTTAAAAAAATGAATGAGTCCATTGAATCCATCTAGTTAAGCTTTTTGGAACCAGTATGAATTAAAATAATTACTTTAATGTCATTGTATTATCAGTTTAATAAATAAATAAAAAGAGAAGGTCTTGAAGCACCCAAAGGAATTCTAAGTTTATGTTCTCTAATAGGATTTGTTGCAGCCTCGTTCACAGGAGAGATGATGGGAGCAAGAAGGCAACAGTTAATATTAGAATGCTTTCCTGTGAGAGTTGTGTCACCAACCTGTGCATTTATGTGATTTACAAGGACACCCCTTTCTGTTTCATTCACGTGTATGTCACTTTTCCGTGTTTTCATTCCGTCAAAAACAAAAAAAAGATGTTTTGCCCTAGAAATATTTGCTGTCATTGTGGAAAAGTTCATACATAGTATGTTACGTATACTAATAACAAAACCATTCTGCTTCAACAAAACATTTCTGGACACTGTTTTACAGACAGGATAAAGGACAAACTTTCCAAACTTAAAATTTCTAACTCTGGGAATATCATATAGGAAACATTTTAGTGATAGCATTCTATTCTTTCAGTTATTTTTCTTCTTTTATTCTTCTGTAAGTCTTATATATGTGTGTATGTATTCTTATTTCTATTGTGCCTAAATTTCTAACTCTGGGAATATCATATAGGAAACATTTTAGTGATAGCATTCTATTCTTTCAGTTATTTTTCTTCTTTTATTCTTCTGTAAGTCTTATATATGTGTGTATGTATTCTTATTTCTATTGTGCCTAAATATCCAAATCATTTCAGATGTAGATTGATGACAGATATAACTTGATATGAATGTGTTTACGCAGTATGCTACACCCCTGTTACACAGCAGCTATGACATATGGTAGATAGGAAGTTATTTTGAGGGATGGATGTATACTCTTGATTCTTATGAAACCTGATTTTCTCCTGAAGACATTGATTAAGGCTCTTTCAGAGAGGAAAAAAAAAAAGAAAAATGATGAAATGTAAGAATAAAAGTGACAGTTCTTTACAGAAATTAAGCATACTTTTACCATAAAATACTTACATATTCTCTGTAGGAGAGAGTGAGCTTGTGTAAGATGACACTGTATTGATGCCTTTTTACTTCTGTGTTTCAAAATTGAATTATGTGTAACTTATAGAAGCCTAACATATTTTGGCATTGGGCCTGGGCTTGTTAGAGTAGGAGCTAATAAGTACATAAAGTGTATCTTTGAGTGTCCAGAGACTTCCTAGGTCTTGCCTTTTTTTGTTCCGTATGATTATATGATGGTCATCTAGCCAGGTACCAATTATTTTAAAGTCTTTATAGGAATACTTTAGGGGAACTATTTTCTGTCAAGAAATGGCATACTTACTATTTATCACTTGATTTAAAAACAACAAAAATCACATCTAGTAATTTGCAAACTTTGAGCTTGTCGCTGTGAAGCTATTTTCTACACTGTCATATCATGGTTCTCAGATGGTAATTCTCCTAAAAGCACATAGTCACTGATTAGAAACACTTTCCAAATTTTTTAAGAATGGTTTCTTCTTTGCTGTTCCTCCCCAGGCTCTGAAAACACCTAAGGGTTAAAGGTGACTGGTGGTACCACAGATGCTAGTTACAGGAACTTGTCTGCCCAGTAATCACACTTCCGTGATTAAAAACAAACAAACAAAAAAACAACTTTTAAGGAAAACATACATTGTAGAGTAACATCACAGAGAGCCTTATAATCAGAACCATTCTGATTGCAGTGGCCCCTGTACCAGGTGAAGGTGCACTTTGGTGGAGGTGGGGCATAGAGGCGGTCTTCTTTTCTGGAGGTAGATCGGTGCAGGTGTGGCAGATGAAACTGTGAAAAGGGAAACTGGAGAGCTACATTCATTTGTTAACAGAAATTTTAAAAAAGGACTATGCCTTCATTCTGTTCTCACTGGAAGCCACACTGTGACTGTGTTGCTGTCCTAGGCCTAAGTGTGACTTGCTGGGAGATGATGTGCAGTTTTAGTACATGGCAGTGCTGGAAAGAAGATGCTTCTTCATATATAGCATCGTACATTGCTGTGGATTTTTTTCAAAGAGGGAGATCAATGGGACCAATCATGTAGCATCTGATCCAGACTTTTAATTTTTCCTAGAGGGAAGATGTCAAGACAGAAGCCTTCAGAAATAAGATACCTGAGAGTCTATTTGAATTTTCATAGGAATTGGGAAACTAGATTACCAAAGCAAAACCTGATTAAAAAAAAAAATAGGTGAAAGCTATCAATTTTGTAGATGAGCAGTGATGCTGATTGAGTACAGTGATGAGGGAAACTGCCTTCCCGGGAGCTTTACTTTTTTTTTTTAATCCAATACAGTTGTTTTTAAGCTTGAGCACACATCAGAATCTCCTGGAGGATTTGTTTAGAAACATACTGTGGTGGGCTTTAAACCCCAAATGTTTGCTTTAGTATGGGATGGGACCTGGTCAGTATTTATATGCCTGTAAATCTCAGAAGTTGCTAAGTATTACTACTAGCTAAGAATAAGAATTTAGAAAAATATAATCTTTAAGATAACCATATAAGAAAGGCATTACTATTTGAATTTTATGTATTAGTAGTCTGAGCTTTGAGAAGTTAAACAAGTTAGCCAAAAATCACAAACCTAATAAATGGCAGCATTGGGATTTAAATTGAGATTTTTTTCCTGACTCTAGAAACCTTTTTCCATCCCAGCATATTCTATTGAAAGGTAAAGGGATTAAAGCCAAGTGAAAAAAAAAAAAATAAAAAAAAAATGAAAAAAAAATAAAAAAAGAATAAAGCCAAGTGAGCATAAGAAGATAGAGATTGTAGTGTGATATTGCTCACCTGTAACCCCATCTACTTGGGGGGCGAGGCAGAAGCATTGCACGTATTATAAGTTGGAGCCCAGTACAACTTAGGAAGACCCTGTATCAAGATAAAAATGACTGGGGATGTAGCTCAGCAGAAAGTGCTTGACTAATATGTGTAAGCCCCTGGGTCCAATCCATACACACACTTGCATGCTAAAAATAATGTTGCTTTACATTGGAGATTGTCTTGCAGAGCCCGAACGTCAGAGGCATAACATTCATTGTATCCCATTAGAGCTATAATCCTTACCAGTGCAGAATAAGCCTATTTTCCTGGTCTCTGAATTACAGCAAGTAATTTATCTAGGGTGGTTGATAAAAAATTGCTATGACTGAGGTATGATGGCACAAGCCTTTAATCTCAGCACATGGTGGGGAGGGTGCTGAATCAGGAGGATTGTCCTAAGTTCAAGGCTACCTGGACTACATAGTGAGTTCAAGGTCAGCCTGAACTAAGTCGCTGGACTCTTGTCTGAAAAAACCAAACCAAATGAAAATAAAATGTGAAAGTCTAAAGAGATCAGAAATAATAGGATTTGAAAGGAAATGAAACATTAGTATTTGAAGTTATGAAAAATTTTTGGTGGAGAATAAATAGGAAAGCAAGTCCCTTTTAATGAAAGTCATTTGAAACAACAGTTTTAATGTGTCCTCAGCCCTAGAAGAAAGATAAGAGATTTATGTTAGAGAGGCTACCAGTTTTGATATCTGCCTTGGCTCTTTCCCTCAACAAAAATACATTATTTTCACCAGTCCAAGGGGAAAAATGGCTATGAGATCATTGAGCAGGTCATTAGATCTTTTCTACATTGTATAACTCTACATAGCATTGTACTGTTTTCAGAGTTTCATTCTATATCATCTCATTTTCATACATACTGTCGCCATTCATTGTATTGTTACTCCCATGTCTTATATTTCAAAATGAAATAATGTATTTATTATTAGAAGATGTTTAATGCTGATAATTTTCCTCCATTTAAAAAAGTTCAGGGACATGTTATCCACCTGAAAAAAGTAACTTAGATTTCACCAATAAATGCTTCAAAAAGTTTTTTGTTTTGTTTTGACATGGGGTCTTGTTATGTTGGCCAAGGTGGCTTGAAGTCCTGGGTTCAAGGGCTGAACTGCTCAAGTGATGTTTCTTGCCCTTCCTCAGTTTCCTTAGTGGCTGCACCTCACTGCACCTAGCTAAGAATTTTGTTTTTATTGGTCTCATAGAATTTCTCTTGTCCAGATGTTGGAACTTGAACTAATGTCACTTTTGCTGCAGAAAACAATTTCACACCACCATTACTACAATGAAATGCATGTCCTTATTGTAGCATTTAAACACAAGGTGGAACTGAAAGGAAAATAATTCTCTGGAGGACTGCCATTTCATCACGGTAATTATTTTTAACTGTCCTTTTATTTTTTTTAAGCAAAGTTAAACCACCTCCACAAATTTCACCCAGCAAATCAGTAGGCGGAGAATTTTGTGTGGCTGCTACATTTGGGACATCCAGGTCATGGTTTGCAAATAATGCAGGTCTGAAAAGGGAAAAAGGTATGTATTTTTTTTCTGAAGCTGAAACTTGCCATTTATAATTTTTGCTTCTCAATGAAAATCTTGTACCAAATTGTCTTAGTTTTTACTAATAGAAAAAAAATTCCCATTCAATTAGCATGTCTCAATTACTCAAGCCTAATGAAGAAAAATTATCCTTTCATGTAAATATCAATTCCCATTTTCTTTCATCTTGTTTTGAAATTTTGTATCATTTTTAATGTTTCTTTAAAATTGTTTATTCTCTAGAAAAAAAGAAAAACACCTGGAACAACTGGGGGAAAAAAAAAGCATGACTTCACCATTGACTGAGTTGATCTTGTTTTGTTTTGTTGATGACAGTGGATAGGTGATCTCAGTCTTAAGTAATTCTGTATCATTGCGTTCATAACTTTGACATATTTAAAAACGAATTTCATACCATTGCCCTCAGCATATGGAGAGGAAAATCTTTGTTATTCACACTTTCAAGATGAAGAATTTGAGATGAGCAAGTGTAGATAGCTTAGCTAAAAACTTTTGAGTACTGTAGTTGATGAAATTGATTTAAAGCCATGTTTTCTCGTGTTAAATCTTAAAGCAGTTACAACTGTGCTGTTTTGTTTTGTTTTTTTAACATGATGGAAAAGCCTGTCACTGAGAATTAAGTGAACTTTTGTTATTATAGTGTTATAACAACTTTTGTTGTTATAAATTTTAAATAAAATTTAAAGGTATTAAATTTTATTCCTTGGTTTGATCATCACGTTCAATATCTATAATGTTTGTGTGATTTGTGTTTAACTTATGATTCCTTACTATCGGTGTATGGAAGAAAATGTGTATATTCATTGACAAGTATGTAATTTTGAATGTTAGGATTTTTCGTTACTATGTTAGTATTATTAAATTAGGTCACAGATTGAGTGGCCACCAGGGAGTACTTTTGGTGAGTTCCCCAGCCTGTATTGTTCTTGGCAAAATGGCTCTCCTTTGCGCTTGATACTGCCAGCCATCAGCCCTTTCCCTTGTTACTGCCATTCAGTGACCCTTTCTTTAGTAACAGGATCTCAGGAACAACAGGTTCCTTACCTAAGTGGGGTAGAATACTATGAAGTATGCAAGCCTTCCATTTCCTTATCCCCTCTTTGTTTTTTTGTTACCTCCTTAGGTTTAATGATGCTATCGAAAGGACTTTTGTTCCTAGTTAAGGCCTTCTGTGAAGCTCAGTTTCAAATGCTTCTCTCTTCTGTTCTAATTACCCTTTTAACTTGCTACTCCTTTATGTTCCACTCGCTGGTCATTAGCCATTTTCTCAAATCAGCTGTAATTGATTCTCCTGACACAGCGATAAGATGACCCACCCAGCATTCATGAGTGATTTTTTCTTAAATGCCCCTTGGTTTACTGTAAAACCTGAGATTGAGCACTAAACCTGTTTTGCCAGTGAGTACATGTGTATTTCTTATAAAGTCATTTGATTAGATCCATATTTACCACCTGACTTCTCAAAGTATAGCTGACCTTCATTTACTGAGGGAGCCAGGGAGCCAGTTGAGAGAAAAGCAGACACTGAGTGAGGAGGATGCATGTCTATGTATGTTTTTAAAACACTTAATCTCTTTTAGCACTTTCAGGTTCACAGTAAAATTGAGACAGATGTACAGTGAAGTCCCGTCTGCCTCCTGTACCAGCGTGTGCACTGCTTCCTTCATTAGTGACATCCATTAGCATGGTAGACTTGTTTCAAATGATGAGCCTGTATTGACGCAGCATGTACTTTTATTTGTTTTGATCCAGTAATTGAGGTTTCATGTTTTCTGAGAAAAAGCAGCTGAGGAGTTAAACTGACGTAGGGGTACCGATCGCCTCACGCAGTTCATTCTGCTCATCCAGAGCACAGATTACTCCTTTCAGCGGGACCTTCCTTGTTCCCTCTGATATCATTCATTTTCCATAACTGGGACACACGATAGATGAATGAAAAATAGTGTAAAATATTGCCAACCACATTAGAATTTAGATTATATTATTCTTGAAATAGTTGCTTATTAACAGAAAGTACTGTGATAGCACAGAAGTTTTCACTTTCGTTGGCGTCCACTTAAAGAAGCAGCCTTCAGATTGGGTACAGTCTGACAAAGTTCCCATCTTTTCATTTCCTCTCAGCAGTCTGAGGAGCAGAATGACAAAGTCAATAATTTGTAGAGAAAATAAAAAAAATAAGAAAGAATATACCTTGTTGTGTTGTTTTGTGTGCCATGACCACACACCCAGATCTTGTTTCTCTGTTTGTAGATCAGTCCAAACAGGTTGTCGTTGAATCGCTCTACATTATCAGTTGCTATGGCACCTTGGTGGAGCACATGATGGAGCCCCGACCCCTCAGCACTGCCCCCAAGATCAGTGATGACACCCCACTGGAAATGGTGACATCCCCTCGAGCCAGCTGGACGCTCGTTAGGTAGGGCCTGCTTTTTCTTTTCTTTTTTTTTTAAAAATAGCTTTTTTTAGGTCTGAATGATTTAAAATGTCCCATTTAATAGTTTTGGCAAGTGCTTAAGTGCTTACAGCCCTGAAGTTATTGCAGTTATTGTGATAAATACCTTCATCACCCTTAAATGTATGTTTGCGACCATTATAATTTCTTCTTTTGCTCCTCTTTGTTTTTATTATTTTTTAAAATCTTTTATGTATTTATTTATTTGGTACAGGGCTTCACTATATAGCTTGGACTTGTAATGATCCTCCTGTTTCCAGCCTCCTCAGCGCTGGGATTACAGGCATGCACCACCCCACCCAGTTTCGTGGCCACCATGGCGCACCCAGTGTTCTGGGGCCAGCACAGCATGTGGTACCAGAGATTGAACCTTGGTCCTTGGGCTTGCCAGGCAGGTGCTTAGACCTGTGAGCTATCTCCCCAGCCCTTTTTGCCGGCCTTTGTCACAGAATTATGTACAAATGAAATCATATATACTCTTTTTTGTCTGTCTTCTTTCATATAGCAAAATGATATAGTTAGTACTTTTATTATTTCTTGACATATAACTTACATGCAGTGAAACTCAACCACTGTGACTTTTCATAGTAGTGCACCCACTGTGCCTACAGTGTCCATAACCAAATGAAATCCAATACCAGTGACTCTCCGGCTGTTTCTGTAGCTTCCCTTCACCCTTCAGCTGTAGTGATCCACCAGTGTACGTTCTGCCTCTAGATTTACCTGCTCTAGTAATTATATAGTAACAGAATTGTATGCTATGCTACCTGTTGTGTCTGGCTTCTTTCACTTAGCGTGTTTTCAGAAGGCCCATTTGTGGTGTTGTCATGAGTTACTTTTCATAACCAAGTGATACTCCTTTATATGGATATACCACATTTTGTTTATCCATTCATTAATTGGTGGGCATTTCCACTTTTTAGCCATCATTAATAATGTTGCTGTCAACTTTGGTGTAAGAACTTTTGCATTCAAGTATCTTTGTCTCAGGCATACATATTACAGATTTCCTCCAGAATACCACTGTCACTTTGCATGTCTGTATTATCTTTTCTTAGACTTGTGCTTTCCTCATTTGTAGTCTCATGCACACTGAATATGGAGAGTCACATTGAAATATCCATTACGGGGAATAGAAATTAATACAAATAGATTTGAAGGTTTCCTTTAAAATGACTCTTCAAGACAATGGTTAAGCACTGTAGAAATGTTTAGTAAGAATCAAAGGCCATCTCAAAGTGCATAACCATTAGAATCTTTATAACATATCACAGAGAGGGAGAAATGAAACCTGGAATAAAAACTGCTCAGTATGGTGCATTGTCCAGGAGACAAAAAATTGCTTCTGACGTGTATAGAAGGAAACCGACAAAAATGGATATGAAAATGATCCCTCTCCTTCTGACATTTTAAAATATTCTTGTATTGATTTTTGGAGGCTCCAGCATTCTTTACTACTACTTTACTGTGCTAGACCTATCTGATCAATATTTGATTTATCAAGCTTAGATAGAAGCGGGCAGATCTAATTAAAATTACTGCAGTATCATTGTTGAAATGGTGGCTTATTTTGGAAATCAGATGCTAATTAGATATGTACTTTATCATCCATTTACACAGCTGTGCTTTATTTTTACTTGCCTCATTTCATTTTAAAATATACACATGTTCTTTGAATGGAGAAGCCTAACACTGGTTTAAAAATTACATAAATAGAACTTCATAGCTGTGATATTTCAATTCTTTATTTTCTGTTCCGTCTTTTCAACATCTTATCTATCTAATAGGAGACTGTTGCCATTAAGGTACTATTGGCCCCATGTGTGTTCATTGCGTGACACATGGCCACTTTTTACTGTTTTTAAAAATAGATTACTTTATGTTTCAGCACATTCATTATAATGATGGCAAGTTCATTTTAATGAGCAGAAAAATAGTGTGAGTTTTTATCCGTGTCTATAAGTGCTGACAGTTGTGATTTACATCCCATCTATTAAATTTTAAATATTAACATTCTTCTGCTGATTTCATAGAACGCCTCAATGGAATGAATTGCAACCACCATTTAATGCAAACCACCCCCTTCTCCTCGCTGCAGATGCAGTTCAGTATTATCAATTCCTGCTCGCTGGTGGTAAGTTGTTCCGATTGGTTTTTCTTCTTCTATTTGGGCTTCTTAGATTTTGCCTTCAAGAGTGGACTTTTAAAGCCTATTTGCATATCACCATTGGTTTGCAGGTCATGGTCCTTGACTAATATGACTGAGACAAATTAAGATACTTAATAAAACTATAATCTATACCCTAGGGCATGTAAAGTATGCCTACAATGACAACAAGTAAGCTGATGGGGAATGTTTGATGGGCTCCAAAAATCCTTACAGCTCGGAACTGCTGGAATGTACTGAACCATTTCACAAAGCTTTGAATCTATCTCTCAGAGGGGAAGAAAAAAAAAAAAAAACAAACATACTAAGCATTTTTTTTCACTGTGAAAACTGCCAGCAGATTTTTCTTTTGTAGAATTTTACTTGCAATAATGAATTAATGATTTCAATTCTATTACATATATGCCCCTGCTCCCCCTAGGCAGGGCTTCGAACCCAGGGCCTCAAGCATGCTAGCAAATGATCTGCTCTAAGCTACTCTTTTGTCTGAACCCTAACATTTGTGGAGACTGAACAGGATTCATCAAGATAGGTACTTAGCTCCCCTAACCCTTTTTTTCATGGGGGCATGAAAATACAATTTAATATTGATTATCCAGTTTATGTTCATAGAATTAAAAATTCTTTACAATTATAATTCAATTTTTTAGAATGGACTGAATCCTAATTTAACTTGATGGCTTTTCAGTACTGCATGTTTTTAAGAAGCTTCCCAGAAATCAACATTGACATGTTTTTAATAGAGTTTTCTTGTATTCAACTTATTATGTTGCCTAGTATATTATAAAGTATGAATTAAAATAGAACTAGAGATATTTTATTTCATTTTTATAATGTGTTACATATTATGCTAGAATCTGAAAAATATTATGGACTTTGTTCTACGGTTATGAAACTCCACAGCGATAATAAATAGTTGGCAGTCTTGCACAGTGCTTAGCCTAGCGCGTCTTGTAGTACATGTTCAGCGAGGGCCTACTGTGTGTCAAGGCTGGAAATTGAAGGCGAGCAATACACTGCTTCGATACTCAAGTCACGTCGAAATTTGGGTGCCAGGCCTTTGGTAAATATGTGTAGGGCACTAGAGGAGCAGTGCTGTGACTTGCCGGAAGCCTCACGGAGTGGTAAAATGTCAGTGCTTTTTAAATTTATTCAAGAAGCAGGATATATAAGTATATAGAAATTCTTAGTTTCTAGCTTTTTAAAGCTTATAGTTCACTTACATATAAACTGAGAAATCTGTGACATAATGCGAGATATTAAAAAATCATGGGGAGGGCCGGGGTGATGGCTCAGTGGAATAAGCACTTCCCTGGCAAGTGCAAGGGTTTGAGTTCAATCCCTGGCTCCGAAAAAAAAAGAAAAAAAAAAAAAAAATCATGGGTATAGTCTCCATTACCTTTCAGAAGTGGCAAAAATGATTAATTGTTGAATTAAGTATAATTGACTCAGTTTATATTTTCTATTGTTGTTTTGGTACCTTTTCTATCTGTTTAGTAGAAAAACAGTAAGTTAAAATTATTTAAAAAGATATATTGCCCCAAAAACCTCTATGCCTTAATATTTTTCCTAGTGATTAAAGTGGTTCATATGACTTGATTTTAAGTAGCTTTTGTCTATTAACAAAAATCCCCAGGTATTTAGCTTAAGGTCTACCGCTGTCAGTAGTACTAAGCCATCAGATATTTTCACCATTGGAGTCAGATTTTATTTGGTTTAATTAATTAGGTAATTTGGAGGTGCAGGCACTAGGAGCCATGGTCAGAGCCTTCCATATGCTAGGTACCCCACTACTGAGCTACAGAATTTATTTTAACTAACGCCTGGGGCAGCAGTGTAGCATGAGGATCAGAGGAAGGGAGCGGAGGCTGGGTGATCCCAGAATAACAAGGGAGCTTTACTTAAGAGAAAGAATTCAATTGAGAGCCCTGGATATGCCAGTGCATTATATAACTGAAGCTGTTAAGAGATGCAGCTGTGGACCTTTGGGTCAGATGACTAATTGCCTGGAATGGCATTGGTTAAAGCACTACTTTACCTGCTGATCTGCAAGTTCTAATATCAGTTGGAGGACTTCATTATTGTCTAGCTTTCTTGCCTTGTCCCTTCATTAAAAGTATTCATTTGGAAAGGTATTCTACTTACTAAAAAATACGTATACTAGATTAGACCAGATACCCAGTCAGTCTGTCTGTCTTCCTCCTCCCCCTCCTACTCCCCATCCTCCTCCTTCTCCTCCTCCTCTTCCATCCTATTTAAAATTATCTCTTAATTAGAGATGTCACTCACTGCTAGAGTGCTTGTCTAGCATGTGGAAGCTGCTGGGTTTAATCTCCAGCATTGCCCCAAACAAAGCAAAAATAAACAAATAAAATATAAAAGAAAGAAAATCACTTATTAATTCTCAACTTGAAGACTTTGATACCTTTTTTAAAATTACTTTTATGTTCCAAAACTGTAATGCAGGTTTTACAAATGTTGCATGCATTTTCTATTCTTGTATTTGGATGTTGGATCAAGTGAAGCCAATTTTTACAAACTCCGGAAATTATAATAATAGTAGACAAAGAATGATGTAAATGGAAATAGGAAAGAGACTTTGTCTCAGGGAGGAGAGAGTAGGCGAACAGGATGTTTAACAAGGAATCCCCACTCCCACTCCAGTCCTATAATCATAATAAATACACTATTAGTTGATAAACAGAGTTCTGCATATGGAGCAAAAGAGTGGCTGATGGGAGAAAGAAAAGGAAAAGTAACCAAAACACCAAAGACCTCTGACCTACCTTTACAGTGAAATCAGTAAAAACTTCAAATTCTGTATTCTTACAGTAGCAGCTAACTATTCCTCTGTATGATTGTTGAGTAGAATGACCAAAAGTGGGAAGTATTGACACTTTTTCATGGGTGTTTGTTAAATGAGATCATGGGAGAGGGGTCCATATGAAAATCACAATAGTCAAGGATGGTAGTGACTCTTGGGAGGCTGAGGCAGGAGGATCACTGTGAATTTGAGGTCAGCCAGGACTATGAAGTAAGTTCAAGACCAGAATGAACTGCATAGTGAAACCCTGTCTCAAAAAGACAACAACAAAAAACCACAATAGAGGCAGAGATGACATCCTTGTCTGTCGAATGGTACAAAATTGCTCTTTTAATTAGATAAGTAGTATAGTATGACAGTTTTTATACAGCTCAACCTAGTTGATTAGGTAGTTTATATATGAAAACGAAATGCATGAATGGTAATCTAATTTTGCCGTTTAACTCAATAGAGGTAAAAGTCAAAAATCAATAGTTCAATTTTCTCTTGGATATGAAATTTGAGTGGAATAGTTTATAAAAAGATTAATGATTTTGGGGCCGGGGAGATAGATGGGTCAGTAGAATAAGCGCTTGCCTGGCAAGTGCAAGGGCCTGAGTTCAATCCCCAGTTCCACAAAAAAATAAAAAAAAAAAAAAAACAAAAAACAAAACTTAATGGTTATCTAATAAAAGTTACACACTATAATTACCTTTTTAGGAATTTTAGTGTGGTGTATGTATAATACCAAATAAAGAATATTTAACATTTCTCACATTTTATAGTTCTGTAAATTCAGATCCTTTTAAGAGTTAGCATGATATAACAGCAAGTTCTACTTTTGATTTCTTTAGGTCAGACTGAGTTACTGTTCATGGTAGTATTTAA